GCGAAAAATACGGTACCTTTTGATGGAAAGCATATAGGTACTGCTATGGGTTTGCAGGGAGCCAGGATCTCCTACAATTCTTAGGTGCCAGATCCTGCCCATAATTTCTGAAACTAGTGAACATGGGGTTTGAAGTCAAGCCCGCTTCCCCAAGAGCTAGACTTTGAGAGGTGCCATCCGAGAACAAATACAAGCGATAGCAGAGTCATTACCTGGACAAAAGGTGAAACATTCAGCATCAGACAAGAAAGGGGGAGGCTGCCAAGATTGCAGGGTGTGTGAAAAAAGTGCCTTTTCCAGGAGGCTTTTGAAATGGAGGCCACAGAGAGACAGGGGGGATGCTGGATGCGAAAGGGTTGTTTTTCTGCAAAGGCTGCTGGGAAGATGATGGAGGAAATAGATAGAACCCCTGGTGGAGGCCATGAGAGGCAGAACCATCTTGGTGCTGGCTGGAGGAGGATGCACTGAGAGGATGGAAGCCATGACTGACTGCTGCTTCAGACCTGCGCTTGCTGAAGCTATGAGGGGGTGATCAGGAAGGAAGAGAGGAAGGAAGGAAGTTGTCTGAAAAGCCATCATAGAAACATTTCCACCTTGGTTTATGCTCAAGGACATGGGTAGGCAAACTAAGGCTCACGGGCTGGATCAGGCCCAATTGCCTTCTAGATCCAGCCCGCAGACGGTCTGGGAATTGCCACATGGATCGCCAGCGTACATGTTCTTTCCCTCTCCCTCACACGGCGGTGCTTTTCTCCTCGGGGACGGAGCAATCTTGTCCCACCCCGGGCGCCATCGAAAGCGGGAGTCGGCTTGCCCGCCCGCCTGCCTCAGCAGGGCAGTGAAGGGGGCGTGTGATGCCAGTTGCTGGCTGCTTGTGCGTTTTCCTCCTCCTCCTCCTCCCCTCCTCCTCCTCCTCCTCCTCCTCCTCCCTCAGTTCGCCCTTCCTTCCTTCCTTCCTTCCTTCCTCCTTCCTTCCTTCCTTCCTTCCTTCCTTCCTTCCTTCCTTCCTTCTCCGTGCCCCTTCTCCACACCACTTCCTCGCACACTTTCTTTGTCACCTCCTGCCTGCCTCTCTCCCTCCCTCCTTCATTCCTCCCATGGCATTCAGGCTGGTTGTTGCGGTGGCTGCGGCCACCACTTGCAGGTTGGTGGGCGGCTCTGTCTTCTTCTCTGCGGTGCCTATGGGGCAGCAGCAGCAGCAGGTGGTGGGTAAAAGCTCCTGCGACGCCCCGGTTCCCCTGTTGGGATGTGCCGGGGAGACGGGGCAATTGGTGGGCCCCAGCTGGCTCCAGCCCACCGGCCGGCAGCCGGGCGAACTCCGGTTCTCGGAACAGCATCAACACTGCGACTCAAGCCTCAGAGACCTTTAGGGACTGAGCACTCAAGCCAGCAGAGATAAGAACACTTTGCAAGGGCAGACAGAGGCATATGTAAGCATATTTACAAGGATTTTATTCAGCAACAGGACAAAGGAAAAACATGTCTGCTTCCCTTCGTGTCCAAGCAAACAGCATAAGCAAAAGCTATATACAACGGAAGTTCCTAGCAGGCTGTGCTGGAAGTAAACAGACATGTGACATACAACAACTCCACTTGCGTGTTCTAAAGGTGGAACAGAACAATATCCTAACCTCCGACCACAGCTCCTCCGCCAGGGCTGCTACTTCTGTCTTTGCCAGCCAACCAAGCCTCCTACCCCGCAACGGCGGCTGGCTGGCTGGAGAAGCCCAACTGGTGCTATTGGGACGACAACTGGGACATGTGAAGAGAAGCATCTTCAGGCCTCTTTGCGGGTGGGCGAAAATAGTTCATTCACCCTGCCCAAAATATAGTCCAGTTCTCCACAAGGTCTGAGGGACAGTGGACCGGCACCCTGCTGAAAACGTTTGCTGAACCCTGCTCTAGGGGCTTATGACAAAGTGCCGTTCTCCATTTTGTTAATCTCCTTCAATGGCCACCCTATTGAGACAGCCGTTTGTAAAAGCCAAGCATGCAGAAAACCTGGTTGCAAAAACGAGCAACTTCCCCCATGAAAGTCCCTCAGCAGCTTTCATACAGAACAAGAAATCCAGGGGAAAGAACAGACGGGAGGGATCTCAGCATGGCAGGAATGTAAGCAACTCAATGAAGGAGATAAACAGCGAAGTGGCACCAGGCTCTGGGCTTGTGTGACTTCTGAGCACTTCAACTTTACTTGAACTCTGAGAGACTGAATGGTGCAACCATGAAAGATGACAACTCCTGCAGATGGCAAATGCTGAATCTGGTGATGCTGAATGGGAGGTCATTGGTCCTCTGCTGAGTTCGTGGGGAGCAAGCTTGTATTCAAGGAGAGAGATGCAAGTTTGACAGGTCTTCTACAGGTTGGAAGGAAAGTTTGCTCTGAGTTACTATCCTTGTAGCCCCAGTTAGGGATGAATTCCTATGCAAAGGAGCGCTCCAGTCACATAACCCATCCACATGCAGGGCGCTTCCAGACAACCTGTTTATCGAGCATTCATCCTGATCTGTTTGCTGGGAGTTTAGGTGACACCATGTCAAAACAAGTGCTTTACAGGTACATTTACCTGTAATTTTCCTTATCACATTAAGTCCGAAGTCCTGAGGAAGAGGAGTTTTGCAGGGGAAGCACAAGGCTTCCCAACCAACGATAATCGCCCAAGCTGAATTTGCTGGCACGTAATTAAATCCCACCTGCAGAATTGTGGCAGCACTTAAAGTGATGGAGAGCAGAGAAAGGAGCTTCCTTCTCAGTTTCCCTACATACAGTGGTGCATTGAGTGTCGAGAAGTTTGTCCTTAGTGGTACCCAGTAATTGAAGGAAGAGGTAGAAGGAGGAAGAGAGCCTGAAAACAGGAATGTGACTGGAGGTTATCAATAAAGTCATCTTTAAGGATTGTTAGAATCTTTTTCTTCTGCCTGAAGGGGTAAATGCAAAAAGAGTCCTTCCCAGTCTTACGTGGTGATGACAGGGACTTAATCTCGGACCTTCTGCTTGCAAATTGTGTGCTCTGCCATCCAGCTGCCATCTTCCGGTAAGCACTGGATGTGCTCTTGAATGTAGTCTCAGTTCACACAGAGCAAAAGGCCTCTACATGAAATGCGTGCAGCCTAGAACATGTCCCATAGCAGTCATGCAGTCATGTGGATCTGGGACAGGTTCTTTTAAAACTTTGGAAAAACACTTGTTTTGAAGCGATTTCTGTCCTGCATCATGGAAACCTCCAGCACAAGGTGACTGACTACCACTGCACAAGCAACAGCTTTGACTATGGGAAAAATCCAACTCACCTTTTCAGTTGTCAGAATGGTGCTTATCCTTAAGAGCTATGGTGGCAGTACCACCGTGTTCTAGTCGTAGGTCTTCTGGCTGCAGGATGGATTCGTGATTGATGCAATCGCTTCATCCCACTTAACAACTCATACAAGGCAAGCCTGGCTGAAGAGGAGGCCTTCGTGAGAAGGCTTGCCATGTCTCCCCATTGCCAACACTGACTGTTAACATTCCTGCGCTTAGCAATTATTCCAGGTTCAAAGATATTTGCAGAAAAACAACCTGTCTTAGTTGAGAAGACTTCTGGCCTCCTTTGGAATAAAGCATTCCTAGCCGGGAACATTCACTGCATAAGAATCATGGCTGAAATGTTTCAGCTGTGCCTGGGGTTTTCACGAGGGAAGGGGAGAATTACTGGGAATATTTTCCCACTATAAAACTCACATAATGCCTGATGCTGGGCCAAAGAAACAACGGGTGCAAAATCTGTCCTTCTATGGTGCTATGGTGCAGAGACTCCTATCCTTCTCGTTTTACGTGACTAGGTCAGCTCTGTATTTACACTCATGCAGCTGCTGCTGTCCTGTCTCATTTGGTCCTCAGGTAGTGCATGAGATTAACAAAGCCAAGTCCTGAAAACCTAAGAAGAACACTGCTGGATCAGGCCAATGGTCCATGTTATCCAACCTCCTGTTGTCACAGTGGCTAACCAGCTGCCAGGGAAGCCCAAAGGCAGGATCCAGACATCCCATTCTGCAGTTTGCAGCAACTGGTATTCAGGAGCATTACTGACTCCCACTGTTGAGGCACAGTCTGAACATCATTCCCCGTAATAACAAATTCAAGCTATTAGTGTGTAACATTGTTCCCTATAGCAGCACAACCTCTAACCCGATAATAGCAAACTCTGTCGGAACCATGGGATGGAAAGCCAGCTGGCTTGGCCCCAGCCAGAGTATCTTCCTTCTCAGCCTTGCCACTGTGGAGATCCATGAGTTATCCTCCTCCGACATGTGTCTGCAACTCAAGCTGCTGTGCATGCAAGAGCACACATTACTCAGCAGAGTAAACACACAACAGATCAGGTTTGAGCCGTGGATACGATACTAAACTATGCATTTATTATACATAAATCATGACAAAGAAAACATGGCCTCTCTCCTTGTCGTTCTTCTCGGGGAGAGAGAAAACAATAGCAATACAGAACGGATGTTCTGCTCATGGGACTCCAACACTCCGTGCTGGAATGTGAACAAACATGTGAAATGTAACAATCCCACATATCTGCAGCAAGGGTGGAATGGAATTCCCAACAAACTCAAGTGGTGAGTGCCAATGGCCTAAACCTCCAGCATTCCCCAGATGAAAATAGGGACATTTCTCACTCCTCAATGCCCAATTTTTTGTCCCATCATGCTCAACCTGAGGTTTGCAATAAATCATGTAAAGAACACCCTAAGTGAGCAATGCCTCCCTCTCTCACATCCCAGTGAGGACTGAGTATGCTCAGTAGTGATGGTTGTCAGTTGTGAGCAGAAAGATGGAAATCTGAAGTGAGGTTAAATTTCCTAGAAGAGGGTGTGGCTGGTGGCTCCTGAACAAGAGCACAACTGCGAGGAAATGAGGAAAAACAGCAACACTCTGCTGTCCCTTTGCATTTCACTGCTGAACTAATCACCCTTTTCTCCAATCTGCTGCAGTAACAAAATAAATGATGGACTTCCAGTTTAAGCTGCACAAGAGTTTTATTTTGTAGAAGAACGTATTTTACAATACCACACAGCAAATGTCCTGATGATATAATCGTACATATGCACATTTTGGAGAACATTCTCGTTTATTTTGAAGTTCAGCTTGTGTCTAAAATCCTATGCGATTTTAAAATGCACTTGCCCTGTTTTGTTTTGTTTTGTTTTGAAGAGCCAGAGTTGTGGCTGAGCTGAGCTGAGAGCAGGCTGCAGCCTGAGAAGCTGAGCCAGAGCCATGCTTGATTTGTGTTTAATTCCTAGGCTTTGACTATGGGAGAAGCAAAACCTTTTGGGGAGTTAATGCTGTGAGCCCCTCCACCTTAGGCTCAGGTTATACATGTGTGCAAATAAATCATATATCCTAAATACACCACAATGTGTGTAATCCCTCATTACAAGGAAACTCAACTTTGGCTAATCCCTCACCTGGAACCTGTGGGATTTCTCACAGAGACTGGCGTGGCATGTGACAATTGCCATCTACATAGCACTTCAGAAATGGCAAAGCATTCCCCATACATTCTCTCAGATCAACCCTGTAAGACAGGGCAGCTTATTATCCTCATATTTTAGATGGGGTGAATGGGGAACAGGACTATGATGAAGAGAATTGTGGCTTGCCTAATTCCACGTTGTCAGTGGGTGCAATATTTTAATCAGTTGACTCTCTTATCCCCTACTCTATATCCTTTCCCCCATGTTACAAGGAACTTACGGAGGAGAAACTGGTCTTGATTCACTGGTGCATTTCTGTGAACTCAGCTTTTCATCTGTATAGAGGAGGCAATCTTTTGTGGTTGTTGAACTACAACACCCCTGACCATTGCCTAATCTAGCTGGGACTAAGGGGATTTTGAATCCAACAATATAATAAGTGCTACAGGTCCCCCCACTCCTGCAGCAGTCAATGGCTGCCGTGTCCATGGCACAAATGTGCAAATGTCCCAGGACAAAAGCATGGGGTGTATCAGGACAGAATGTCCTAACTTTGCACCAAGATACACTTCTGGGGCTTTTTGCTGTCTATAACTCTCCCAGCCAGGAGCAATGGGGTGCTGTTCTTTGAATGAGCCCTAGAATCTCATTTCAATAATAGCCATGCATATTTTCCCCTGCACAAATATCTCATCTGAATGAGGTCTCTGTGTTGCAGATCTGAATAGTGTAGGTACCAAGAGAAGCAGGATAGCACCAAGGACCAAGATTTGGATCAATGACACACCGAAATCACTCCCTTGTGCAATTGCACAAGTTCAAATGATAGAAGAAGGCCCAAGACAGATCGCTCCTGGAAGTGCAAATGTATATGTATACAGAATTCAGTCCTAGAAATAAAAATAGCATTCATTCATTGGCTGGAGCAGGTGTCAATGTAAACTTTACATCTGATATCTGTTTTCTCCAAAGTTTCCTCAGCAATGAATTAATCCACCTGGTTCAAAATGTGGGCACCATATCAAACCCTCTGTTTAAGCCTGCTACATTCAACATTTTATGTGTGTTTTTTCCTTATGGTAACAAGCAAGTGGCGCTATCGCAAATTAACAGCAGACTTTTTCCGGTGGTTTTCGACTGAAAAGGATGTTCGGAGAGTTTCCAGGGTTGTCACTGTCTGGATGGATGGTGCTGCACTAGGTCTTCTCTGGAGCATTCCACAGTAGACCTCCTTGGATTTCCTTCGGAAGTGTTTGCCTACCAGGACAAACAAAATTGGGTTAAGGCAGCTGTTGCTGAAGCTGCAGTAGGCGGCGATCTGGCTAGCCACGTCATTGGCTTGTTCAGCCTCACAATCAAGAATAACCCCAGTGTGAACCAACGTATCCAAGAACGTGGTGATCTGGAAAGGAAGCCAGCAGACAATGAAGAGAAGAAGGACAAAGAGAACCAAGGTAGTGGCTTTTTTCTCTGTCTGGATAGCTCTGATCTTTTGAAACGTGCTGTTTTGTAAAGCATGGATGATTTGCGATGTGCAGTAGGTTATGATGCAGAGAGGCATCAAAAAGCCCACTGTGTTCAGCAAAGTGTTTGTGATCACTGTCCATTGCACAACTGATGGATATTTCAGAACGCAGGCGGTGACATTGTTTTCTTCGTCATAGTTGAACGATCTAAAGAGGAGAGCAGGAGAGCTCAAGAACAGCGCAGAGACCCAAATGGCGAGGCAGTTCCACTTTGCACAAGAAGGCCGGCGCAGGCGTCCCAGAGACATTGTTTTCACCAAGGCCAGGTAGCGATCAATGCTCACCATCACCAGGAAGTAAATGCTGGAGTAGAAGTTCATAGAAACGATGGCATTGACGGCTTTGCAGAGGGGCAGCCCAAACACCCAATGGAAGTTATTGCTTATCGTGATTGCCCAGAAAGGCAAACCACAGAGGAGGAGGAGGTCAGCGGCTGCTAAGTTTGCCAAGTAAACTTCGGCCACTGTGCAGCGGCTCTTGTGGAAGCAAAAGACACTGAGGACAAAGATGTTCTCCACAATTCCCACCGTGGCAAGAAACCAGAGGAACACTGGCTGGATTTCGAGCAGCCAGTTCCATTCCTGCGGCCAGCCGCAGGAGGAGTTGTTTGTCGTGTTGTGCCAAGCAGACTGGCTCACCCCAGAGTTCCAGGCAGTTGTGACACCATAAAGAGCTGTGTTGTTTTCGGCCATGACAGTGGTCCACGTGGGGGCTGGAAAACAAGGGGGTAAATTTAGACCAGTCTTTAGTGCAATATGTAGAAGCTCAATATGCAATTAAAAACCAAGGGCCAGATTTTTGAAGAAGAGGAGAAAAAGAGTTTGGATTTGATACCCCGCTTTATCACTACCCTAAGGAGTCTCAAAGCGGCTAACATTCTCCTTTCCCTTCCTCCCCCACAACAAACACTCTGTGAGGTGAGTGGGGCTGAGAGACTTCAGAGAAGTGTGACTGGCCCAAGGTCACCCAGCAGCTGCATGTGGAGGAGCGGGGAAGCGAACCCGGTTCACCAGATTACGAGACTACCTCTCTTAATCACTACACCAAGCTGGCTTTTGGGGTGCATAATCAACTAGCAGAAGCCAGTGCAAGGATTTCCACCAGTGCAACAGGAGTCCTCCACACACCACCCCCCGCTGCAGACACCTTGCACCACCCCCAATCTGCTGTGGAAGGCTAGGGGACCCCATCAGAACAGATTGAGGAAAGCGTTGCGTTACAGCCAGGCTGGGCAGCTCATTAAAAAGATGAAAAACTGCTGCTAAGATGAAAGATGCATTTTGTTGCGGGACTGCTAGCGCCGAGACATTTGAGATTGATCAGGGTTTGTAGGCTAGGTCCCCACACGGCGATGTGTTGTGCATAGGTGACACACTCCCAGCCAGCAGTCAGTGTCGGAAAGGGACAGGCATCTATCAAAAAGAGAACACTATGAACAAGCCTTAAGACAACCTTTTTAAATGTACTGCAATGGCCTTCCCTAAGCAGGCTGGCTGGGGCTGATGGAAGAAGCGGTTAACCGAGGGGTGGGAGAAACTAGCCCCTGCTGGCAGTGCAGGCCTGGGGGGGGGGGCAAGGCAGAAAAATCACTTATGAGACTAATGGGGTGTATGATGTGTGGTGACACACCACCACTGCCAGAACGAGATCAAACACAGGAGAAGTGGCTTTCAATTTGAACTTAGCCTGATCTTTTACTCCCCTTCCTTCTCTCCCCTCCCCTTTTTATGAAGATTACCCGCTCTGGGATCTCACAGTTAATTCACCCCTGGTCTCCTCGCTGGCCCAAATAGGATTAATTTAGCCAGCTAGCCCTGGTGATTATCTAATGTTTATTGGATGGATTTCCCCCCTAAATTGATTTTTGAATTCTGAATTTATTGTTATTCATGTTTTATACTGTATTTTATGCTGTTTTCTGTTGCATCAGTTAAGTGTTTTAAATTTGTTGCTAGCCGCCCTGAGCCCGATTTTCTGAACCGAGAAGGGCGGGGTATAAATAAAAATTTATTATTATTATACTAATCAGCCTTCTTTATGTGAGAGCTGGACCATAAAGAAGGCTGATCACCGAAGAATTGATGCTTTTGAATTATGGTGCTGGAGAAGACTCTTGAGAGTCCCATGGACTGCAAGAAGATCAAACGTATCCATTCTTAAGGAAATCAGCCCTGAGTGCTCACTGGAAGGACAGATCCTGAAGCTGAGGCTCCAATACTTTGGCCACCTCATGAGAAGAGAAGACTGCCTGGAAAAGACCCTGATGTTGGGAAGGAGAAGGGGACGACAGAGGACGAGATGGTTGGACAGTGTTCTCGAAGCTACCAACATGAGTTTGACCAAACTGCGGGAGGCAGTGGAAGACAGGAGTGCCTGGCGTGCTCTGGTCCATGGGGTCACGAAGAGGCGGACACGACTAAATGACTAAACAACAATTATTATAATTTATTATGGTAAAGATGTGTGGTAAAGTGATTTTTTTCTCCAGGGGGAGGGCAGCAATACAGCTCCTTGCCAAGGGCATAAGGGACCCTAGATATGTCTCTAGATGGGATTTGTAGAACAAAACATACGGAAGACACCATTTTCAGGAAGGCACACTTGCACATAGCTGTGAATCAAAAGCTGCTGTGCTACAGCCATTTAGCTAACAATGCTGTCACTACTTCTTCCTTCTTTTGGGGAGTGAAACATCCCCCGGATGCTTGCTTTAGGTGGGAGAATGTTAAGTGGCCTTGAGGGCACTTCCTTTCTCAGAAGCTGGAAAGAGAGAGGCATTGCCAGGAAAAGTGAATAGCAGGCAGCCAAGTTTTGTGCCCAATTTTGGGTGCAATTCAGAGTTCTGGCCTTAAGCTTTAAAGCCCCAAACAACTGGGGTCCAGATTAGTAGTGGGCCAACTTCACCCATTTAATCCTGCCCATATGCTCTTCTTGAGTGTCCACCATCAGGTTGGAGCACAAAATGGGCAGGACCCTATTGATGGTGGCCCCAAAGACACATAATTCCTTTCCAATGGACTTCTGGTTTGCGCCTTCGATTGTGGCATTTAGAAGTCTCTCCACTTCACAGCTGCCCAGAGCTGACAATGTAAATAATTTCATACCTGCAAAGTGCCCCAGAAAAAAATGGGACATCCTGTTTTTTCACAAAGGATCACTGCAGCCATTTTGGGTGCCACGATTTTGGGTTGCACTCTCACTCCGAAAAAGTGCTCCTGGTCAAAATAGTAAAGCAAGTTTCTATTTGCTACCATGCTGCAGTCACATGTGCCGTAAAAAGTGGTATCAAAGACTTCCGGGTTAGCGCCATCGCCTAATGGCGGATTCCCTCCGAGCTCCGGAGGGAATCAGCTCAGCAGGGGTCGGGTCCTGCCACGGCGGCGACGCGGGGACCCTTAAAAACCACAGGCGCGGAAGCCTGTGGACTTGGTGACTCGGCGGGCACCATTTGCGCCCCCCCGACCCGCGAAGGAGCCTTTTTAAAGGCTACGGAACGGGGGACGGGGAGTGGCGTGGTGCTGAGAGTCCTCTGCTTCCCCTGCTGAGTGAAGCCGCATGCCATGGACGGAGAGCGCTGACTTCTTCCTTTGAACATTTGGATTAAAAGTAACAACCCGTGAGTAATACGGAAATTGGACTTAAAAGGGAAATTTTCTTTTTGGATTTGGCACGATCGGGGAAGGCGCAAAGAGGAAGTCCGTCTCCCCGCCTTGTAAACAACTTAAAGCAAGGACTAGATAACTAAGGTTGAGAGAATATCTTCTTCTTTACTGGACAAAAGTTATTAATTTCACGATTGGACAGTACAAGTAATTTTGCTGGAGGATAAGAGCTGATTTTGAGAGCTGAAGTGCAACCCCCGGGGACCCGGGAGTGATCCGCGAGAGAGCCTGTTGAAGAGATACAGAAGATTTTGACAGCTGTCAAATTAGCTGTCAAAGTTGGGGAATAAAAAGAGAACTTTGTTTCTGGTGCCTTTGCTGGTTAGATTTGTTACAATTTGGATATAAATTGTTGAAAACAAAGAAGAACAAGTTATTTTGACTTTTGGGTTGGAACTGGAAGGATACTAAGTAACCATAATCCCTCTAGAGGGGGTTCTGGGACATTGCAAGAATGGCTGCAAGTGGAAAAATACTCATTGAGCTGAACAGGACTTTTTATCTCCTGGGAAAGCTACAAGAACAAAGTAATATTTTGGCTACAAGGGTTACTACACTGAATGAAACAATAAATAAATTTACTGAAACTGGAAGGGACTTGACTCAAGTCTTTGTTGCTGAACAAAAAGTCCTTGTAGCGGAACCAAAAGTCTTTGCAGCTGAGCAGGAAAAGAAATTTGAGAAATCTGAGAAAGTGGAACAAGAGATACATGATGATCTGGAGGGAAATGAAGGAGGAGTTACAATGCCGCAGAAGATTAAGGAAGGCCAGAGGCCTGTTAGGAAGGACATAAAGGAAAATAAGAACTGGATGATGAAAATTTGGTTTGAATTGGAGAATGAAGAATGGAGAGATCTCCTTATGTGGAGATCTGAAGACCTATGGATTACAAATTTGATCAAGATGGAAGTTGGAGCTTTTGGGACATTCAGACTCAAAAGGATTAACAAACAAGATTTGAGCTCCACTTTTAAATATAGAGGTCTGGCTGGAAGAAAAATGGACATTATCGAGACAGAGCTTCTCCGAGATTTGGTGTTTGATATAAAGGACTATCAAAAAAACTGGCAAAGAGGAACTGAGAGAGAATTAAGAGCCTCGGATGTGAGGTCTCCAGGCTGATAGCAGATAGATTGATGGACATTGGGGATCGAAACCGGGAAAGGGGGGGTTGGAGCTTGGGAATCCAAAGGGTGTATAACTATATTTTGATTTTTTCTTCTTTTTTATTTTGTTTTGTTATGAGCACAAAAATGGGGAATTCGTGTAAGGGAACTGGGGTCAATCTTAGAAAAAGATTCTAATGTACAAAGACTGAGGTTTATAAGGTAAAATTGGTTATATAAAATGAACTAAATATAATAATGAACTAAATATAATAAGGTCAAAAATTGGGGATAAGAACTTGTTGAACCAAATAAATGGAATTGGAATACAAGAAGGGGAGGTGTGGGGAAGTCTTGGAAATATGTCATTGAAAATAAGGCTTAAACGGTGAATGTTTTTTAATTCCCCCCGCTTCTTTTCTCTGTTTGCTCTTTTTCTTTCTTTTCTCTGGATTTTTTGAAAATTTCAATAAATATGTTATTAAAAAAAAAAAGTGGTATCAAAGGATGTTAACAGCACCTTGAACCGATTGTTGATATAAGTCTGTCTCTGCCATTAACCAGACAGAAAAGAAAGTACAAGCAGACAGTTAAAAACAGGCAGGCAGAGAGAGAGGTTTTAGGGAATCACACAGGCTATAAAAGAAACCAGAGAGGACGGATGCAAAGCAGGCAGGGTTACTCTGCTGCTGTTCATTATTGCATGGAAGAGAAAATTACAATAATTGCAGCATTCCTTGCCCTTATTTGACAAGTTTCACCTGCTGAAATTCTGTCTTCTGCACAAATATTAAATGCACAGGATCCCATCCCTTTGCATCTTGTCTCCTTCTAAAACAAACAGATTTACCCAAGCATTTAAACAGTCCCAGCAGCTTGCAACCCCCTCCCCCTCCCCCCCCCCAGTCAAATATTTCAATTTAATTCCTTTTGGTAACTGGAA